CAGGACAGGACAGGACAGGACAGGACAGGACAGGACAGGACAGGACAGGACAGGACAGGACAGGACAGTCTTAAATGTATTAACTGCATTAATAATGAACACTTTGATATACATAAATGAGAATTGAAGTATTAAACATTATTATTTGGCCCAAAAATAACAAATGCCTACAGTTTATTTACATAAAATGATACACTTTACATATCTTTACAATAATGTAAGTATTTTGTTCCTAGGAACCATTTTTCAAGAAGTTCGATTGCAGCAGGAGGTCAAAAAGGAAAATCATATTATACAATCACCTTCACAGTCACCTTCCATCATAAGGATGATGTTTGCTACTTTGCTTACCATTATCCTTATACTTACTCAGCTTTAATGGTAAATTGTTTTAATATGGATACATTCATAATAACTTGATTTACAATTTTATTATTTGATGATAATACTTTCAACTGATTATATTGCTTAGTAGTTATACAACATTCAAACACTAAAGTACTGTTTGTTATAAAATAAATAAAAGTTGATGTTAAATAATCCTATGGAAGTAATGCCTTTGTTTAACAAATACTGTAAAAAGTTTCGTATTTCACAATGAGATCTCATAATAAGAATTTCAGAGCAAGAAGTAGATAATGTTTGTTTGCTTGAGCTATAGGTAAAATAGTGTATACAATAAAGACAAATCTGATAACTAGTATCAGCACAGGAATAATAAATGTAAAATTGCATATAATCTAGTAGGTGGACTTCTATATGAGTATCAAAATACCAAGATACTGATCACAGTTGGCTATTTCCAGTGTAACCTCATTTTTGTTAGGAAGTAGTAACATTTTTGTAAATGAACGCAGTGGACTACCATTATCCACTAGTCAGGAGAACAAGTTTTTGTCTTCAGATATATGCAAGAAAACATATGGGAAAAAGCATGGGAAGCGATTCCACTTTTTCCTTCAGCTAGATGCCAGCTATGCCATCTAAAACAAATGCCAAGAGTCAGGAAATCTTCTGAAACAGCGGAGCCTCTACTTGATCTTAGTCCCTTCTGTAAATGAGAAGATCCTGTCCATTTGCAGAATGGGAAATCTGTATTTAATTCTTCCTACATAGCATCCAACAAAATGGTTTTTACAGTGCAGAGTGAAAATGTAACTTGCAGAAAGAGGGTTTACCAACATTTAATCTTTTTATGCTGATAAGGAACACTTGTATTGAATAAGAAGCAATAAATTAGCAAGACTTCAGGTGACAGATCATACTTTTCCAGTTTGCATATGTAATAGCAATTATAGTAACACTTACGTTAAATGCATAAAGAATTTCATTTATGGTTTTCGGTAGTGAAAAAGGATTTACTTGCAATAGTTTAGTATTTTTATACATTATTGCTAATGATACTACAAGTTCCAGTGTGATTCATGAGTTACCTGTTGCCTATACCTTAATATAACATAGGTTTACATCTTGTACAATTCATAAACTCTTTCTTCATATTAACGTTGCAATTTGATAAATGCAAGCTACTTTATTTTATGTACGTTTTTGGTACTATAATGATTTTTATACATAACATTCATTACTCCTGTGCACTAGGACTCTAAACAATAAATAAAACATTAGTTGCAATATTAGAATGAGTGAATTTAGAAATTTCATTAAATACTTTAGCTAGTTTTTTAAAATGCTTTATTAAAATATAAAATTGGCTCTGAATTTATGTATTTATTTTGCATGATGAAGATGCATCTCCAAAAATTAGAATCCACAAACAGTTCTCAGCAGATATATTTTCGGCAACATGTTTTATGTGAGACTCTCTCTGGGAATAACTGTCCTGTAGTAACTATAACAGCCATGCCAGAATCAAATTACTATGAACATATTTGTCAGTTCAGTAAGTATAGCCTTTTCCTTTTGATTATATTCAAAGAGTTTCAAATCAAATAAAACCTTTGTTTCCTTTGACTTTGTATTGTTTAGTTATAATTATTCATAGGCACCCAACAGAATACATTGGCCATAGCCCTCCTCAATTAATTTGGTGGATGCAAGTTTGAGATATGGTTTTCCTTCCTAGCAGCAATGGGATTAGATGGCATTTTTGTGATCCTTGTGAAAAAATAGTAAAAGCAATTGCACACTTCATTCTGCATGGATGAGGCTCGTTCAGAGTAAAGAGGGAGGTCTGTCTGGAGATCTCCACGTTGTAGTAGCAAGAAGATTATTGCTCTTTCTAGTTAGCTGGTTGTGGCTATTCAGCAGTGGGGCTGGAACTGGGAATGTTGAGTTTATTATACACATAGCCAAACATTTGCTGGATCTTAAATGTTCCAAATTCCTTGTTTCACTTCAAAGCAGTCCAGAAACTCTACTAGTCCTGGAGCAAAAGTATTATGATAGCAAGTAGTATCAAAATTAACTGTTTTCCTCCTTGGTCACAGTGAGATGAAGATAACTGCAGTAACCTTGCCACATATTCTTCCCTCTGTCTGCAGTAACATTGTTATTTTAAAATTCCACTGAATCAGTTCAAGGAATATTATACTGATTATAATATAATATAATATTATGCTGATTATACATTTTGCATTCATAAACTATTATGCTATGTAAAAGGCTAAAAGTATTTCATCTTTATGAATGTATAATAAGCAGATGTAATGCGATTAATATGAGGGTCATCTGCCAGGGATGTTCTAGTGCATTTTTAAGGTCCCTTCCAACCCTGTGATGGCTATATCATGCAATTTTATTTGTGCTGTTTTTAGGAAATCGTCCTTATATTTTCTTATCTGCTCGTGTACATCCTGGAGAGACCAATGCAAGTTGGGTTATGAAGGGAACTTTGGAGTATCTTATGAGTAACACTCCTGCTGCTCAGAGTTTACGAGAATCCTATATTTTTAAGATTGTTCCAATGCTTAATCCTGATGGGGTCATCAATGGAAAGTAAGTTTTTGATTGCATTTAGCAACAGAGTTCATTCTGCTGAAGCACTTCCCAGGGCAGCTATGTTTGGAATATAGATTTTCTAGATTAGAACTTTTCTGCAAAATGTTGTATCTACTAGAATCTTGACTAACTAATACAGTTATGTTAGTTTAAGTGAATAGTTACTTTTATTAACTTATATATGTGCATTTATACTTTTTTGTAAGTCCAGTCTTGTTTAAAAATAATAGTTTTAGGTACATGTACAGAGTCTACTTTCCTTAATAGTTTCTCCTTTTCAAATGTTGAATCAAAGGCAATAGCACTGTTTGGCACTTTGCGATGTAATTAGATCAAATATAATGTTAACTCATCTCAAATGAGGGTATACCTATTATTAAGTGCAGTGTTGTTAGTGTTCTTCCCTCTGACAACCTGCCTTCAGGCATGGCTCTTGCTGGTGGTTCATGTACCAGTGCAGAAACTGAAAAAATGCTTTTTAATATTTAGCCAATAAGAAAAGCTAAGATTAGGAATTCATTTCTATAGGAGGAAGAAATGCTATTAGGTTGGCATCAGAAGGGGAGTCTTAAAATTAGCAAAGATTCTGTAAAGTGTACATCCTGGAGAGAACAATGCAAGTTGGGGTATGAAGGGAACTTTGGAGTATCTTATGAGTAATACTCCTGCTGCCCAGAGTTGATGAGGAGAAACTTCAAGGAGGTGTGCAATGGCTGGCAACTAAGATGGATCTAGACAGTGGTGGCTGTTGAAGATTGGCTTGGCTTTGGGAAAGTATAGAGAGTAAGGAAGATGATCTTGACAGGGATAGGGCAGATCCATTACCAAAGCAATAAGGGGAAAAATGTGGCTTAAGTCCAAAACAAGCAGGAGGTATGTGAAAACGGCTCAAGCAGAACCTCCCTCATAAACATGAGTATGGAGGTGGGTGGATGGGAAATAAAGCACAGTTAGACTTGCAATATTATGTTACTATAGCCAATATTAATACATTTTAGCCTTCCTGTGGAATTGATTTCTTGATTCGGTCTGTGTAGAAAGCCTATAAATGGCTGGTAATCCTATAATGGACAGAGCAGTGTTACACTGCTGAAGCTTTGTTTTGCTCCTGGGATGGTGGAAGGCATCTGAAGCAGAGGTGGGTATGACCCAGAAAAGTGTGCCAAAAACAAAGAGAAGGCATCATAGGGCCTGGTCTACCTTTTGCAGATGACCTTTGGCGAGGGTTGAAGGTGATAGAAGGTAAAAGGTTTTACCAGCCAGAGAAAGTCAGCTGCTAAACTGACAGAGAAATTGCTGGCCAGTATCTTTAATATAACCCTTGCTTAATTCTAGATAGCAGTAGTTTTTAGAAATATAGAAGGATACATATACATTAACCTAAAATTATGTCTTGCAAACATAAATATGCTTAGAGAAGCTTTAGGCCGCACAGTTGAATAGAGAGACAAAAGTTCAGTTCCATTGCAGAAAGTCTCAAACTGCTGTGCTTTGTCTTTAAACGGACAGAGGGAGGAGGGAGCAGTGGAATGCGGCATTCTGATTATAAATTACTGTATGCTTATAAACCTTGGCTAGAAAAGCAAAACTAGATGCTGCCTATTTGTTTAATAAACAACTCTGAAGTCATGTTTTGCACTATTAAATCCCAAGAATGCACAGAAAGCTCCAATCACATTTTCAGTAACAGAAATATTTGGCTGACTTCAGTAGGCAAAGTGTACTAAAAGTCCCCCAGAAAAGTTCCTCTTAGTACAACCTGCTTTCTTTTTCAGTGCAGGCAGTCCAGAGAAGTTCATTCTCTTATTCTTGTGTAAGGCTTGTTACAGCGTTAAAAAGAATTTCTTCTAAGTCAGAGTTTCAGTAAGAGATAATGTATGTCTAGGCAAATAATTCTTAACATGAAGTGCATTTTTACTCATGACTCTATGGAATTTGCTTCTATGGATCTTGCTCCTATACTGTATTAGTATCTGTAAGATTTCTGTCTAAATATAATCGTTTGTGCATGAAATTCTGCTCAATTCACTGGGATTTATTCTCTGCATGATTTCTCCCCTGGGTTGACTGCAGCCACGTTTTCTGTCCCTAATGCTACTAGACTGATTGTAGCCAAGTCTTCTTTACTTAACACAGCTGTCTTTGATTTAAAAGTAATAATGAACTGTTCAGTTCTAAGGAAGAAGCCCCATCTGCAGGGTCTTGACAAGGTCCAGCAGAGTTTCTCTTATCCTGAAATGGCCTCACTGCATTTTTAATGCTGAAGAAAGCTACCTCCTTGTTTGTTTTCTACAGAATTGGAGGACTAATGTTTCTTTCATTTCCATGATGTAAAATATCTCTTGCTGTTTCTATGTCAAATGTTATGCTTTGGATCCTCACACAATCAAAGAGCATTTATCCCTCTGATTTGTACTTCATGGAAAGCTAAAATGACACAATTCATTTGGCTCAATGTTTAAAGCCTTTATTCAGAATCTGAATCATTTTAAAGAATTGACTCCATTTTCAATGTTACATAATTGGGAGCTTCAGTTAACCTTCTAAAGTAGATCAAATATCTTCAGAATGATGCAATTCATAATATTAAAAATGATGGAGTAAATCCAGAATTAGTAATGCTTAGAGTATAGCCAGTGAGATCAAGTAGACATTATAAAGCTTAATTTGGTCCTTTGATTTCACTGTTTCTATTCTAAGCTTCAATAAGTCAGAATATAACCCACTAATAGAGATAGTAGATAACATTTTCTGCATGTGAGCATTTTCTGAAATGTTACTTCAGCTGTAATACAAGAACACAGGGAAAAAAACCATAAAATTGGTAGAAACCTAGAAAGTGAATCAATGACACTTCTGAAAAATTATTTTTTCCCATTCACAGGGGAGAGGGGAATTGAGTTTAAACTCTTGTCTGCTGTTGGGGCCATTTGTCAAGGTTGGTTTGACGTAAGAATATGGAGCACAGGCATGTTAGCTTTGTCTTTTCTTTCCACAAACTTAATTCAGTTTGGCTGGCTTAAAATTGTTAAATGCTTGAAACAAGGCTTTAGAAGAATTTCTTTTACCTTAATATACTTGCAGTGAATTTTTTAACATCCAAATTCTTACATTAATTTTCTTGGAGAAAGAAATATTTTTAATAGAAGGCTTTTTAATTTTTGTTCTATAGTCATCGCTGTTCTTTAAGTGGGGAAGACTTAAATAGACAGTGGCAAAACCCAAACCCAGATCTGCACCCCACAATTTATCATGCCAAAGGTCTGCTTCAGTATTTGGCAGCTATAAAACGTTTGCCATTGGTAAGTATGTGTTTTCTTATTTAACAAAAACCACTTAAAATGTGGCATTTACATTGAAAGGATGTGCAGGTAATGGTAATTGAAACTTCCTCAACTTTGCAAATGCATTGCTTGAGAAATTGTCTTCTTGCCCGCATCACTAGTGATATTAGAACTGTGTTAGAGAAAATTTACAGTCACAGTGAAATTAGTTATAGTGAGTTACAATGAAATATGGTGGGAACAGTTTAGCTCCTTTCATAGGAGCATTCATATAAAAGAGACTGTAATATATTTATCATGTTAAAAATGTGAAAGAGGCAGATATATGAACAACCTAATGACTGATATTTGCTATGCCAAGATTTATGGCTTGTTCTTGGCTTAGCGTGATATGGAAGCCTAGCCAGAGCAAATATGACAGAAGTAATCATTTATCTGTCGTCTAGGTCTGAATGTTAAAACTTGTTCAATAATCCACAATTTTAAAAATCCTGTTTTAGAATCGTATGTGAAATATACCATGTTAGAAATGTATTTTTGTTTCACTTTGTCATCTTATGAACTCTATGTAGACTAACTCACTTCTTGAAATTTCTGATTTTGTGACTTTGGCCTTAGAAACAGGAAACACAGAATAAATATGATGGTAGTTCTGTTCAAGTGACAAGGCAGAGGAGTTTTTTAAGGCAGATAATATAGTAAATAGCAAATGTAGAAGAAAGTGCAGATGAACCAGCAAAAAGTAGTGGAGTGGTTATTCTCAATGAACTAATACTGAATTTGCACTTTGTTAGATGCAATCAATATTATGTACTATTTCCTGACTTAATTTTTAAATTAATTTTCTTTAAAATTATGTAAAATATGCCTTCATTGGTGTAGAATATTTTAATGAGTTGTAAATTTACATTTAACATCTCAAATTGTATTATTATTCAAGAAATTTGTGAAGAACTATAACTGACAAGCTTGATCTAAGTTGTTTATTAAAATTCTTTTAAAATGTTAGTAAAAATTAATTTAAATTAATGTATCCAAGGAAGTTTTTATTCAAGGGTTCTCTCCATGCCACTATATGCATCCATTTTTTCTAAAGGATCATACTGCCTGTTTTCTAGAGACATAAATGATTATTTATCAGATCTGGGTTGTTACATCTGAATTGCATTTTATGTTAAAGGTGCATCTTTAATTTTTGAAAAATACTGTTTGTTATAGGTTTTTTGTGACTATCATGGTCATTCTCGCAAGAAAAATGTATTTATGTATGGCTGTAGCATCAAGGAAACAATATGGCATACTAATGTTAGTGCTGCCTCTTGTGATCTGACTGAAGACCTTGGTTATAGGGTAGGTAGACGTGTGGGTGTGTATGCATGCAGATATATGCATAGGATTTATAATTTGTGTTCCTTTTATCAGTACTATATTAACTGGATAATAGGTTGCTAGCAATACTGTTGTAGACAGAGATCAAATCCTGCCATATTCTTTCAGCTGCTTTCAATGGCTTAAGCAGTGGGATGTTCCTTTAAAGATGAGTAGTACCTAAACAAAATAAATTTGGGAGAGTTACTAAAGCTCTTGTCAGAGTACATGTTTTATATGGCAGAGTTTTTTTAATTAAAATCACAATATCTTCGGTACCTTGAATAATAGGATTAGGATAACCAAGAAAAGACACCCTAAAGGCTAATAAATTTATAATGACATGATAAAATCAGTGTCTAAGAGCTGGGAGAGCTTGGATAATCAGTGAAGAAATGACTGGGATAGATGGACTAAAGTCTGATTCAGTGTACATCAACATCACACGGAGGCAAAAGAAGAATGCAATAGGGAAGAAAAATCAGTCTAAAATATTTTTTAATTTTTTTTTTAAATTCAGCATTTTTTAAGTCATTAATTGGATAGTGTTCATCTAGTATGGAGGACAAAAGTAAGGAACTTAAGAATAGCACAGCTAAATCCAGCCAAGACTTGTTCTAGTCCAGCTTTTTGTTTCTCACTATGGCCAATCATATGCTTATAAGCAGGAGATAGATTCATATTTGTTTCTCCACAAATGGCATTTGGATGACTGTTCTCTCCAACCCAAAAGTAATTTTAAGTCTTCAGGCTAATAATCCTTGGTATGCCTGTCCTCTCTCTAGTCCCCTTTTAACTCCATCCATGTTAGTGGCCATCACCACATCTTGCGGTAATAAATTTCAGAGGTTAACTATGTGCTGTGTGAAGAAAAATAATCTTTAAAAAATCTTCAAAAAAATTTATGCGATAACAAAATCCATAGATTTTGCAGTATCTAGACAGTCTGCCCTTAGAAGTCTTCTGATACCAGGGATGTTCCATCTTTGGCTCTGGACAGGGTTGCACTGCCCCATGCAGAACTGGTTTGTAATTTGGAGTTCCTCTTGCACTTACAATTCATTCCCTCACCATTCAGAGGGAGATGTCTGTGGTATTCTGCAGACCTGTGACACCCAGACTTATATTTTAAGAGATGTATAAGCAGCAGAGTTTGTCTATAATTTTTGTTATTGCTTATTTCTGGTAGACTCTCCCTAAGATTCTGAGTCAGTCAGCCCCAGCATTCTGTATGAGCAGCTGCAGTTTTGTCGTGGAAAAATCAAAGGAATCTACAGCACGTGTTGTAGTGTGGAGAGAGATAGGTGTTCAAAGAAGTTACACCATGGAAAGCACATTATGTGGATGTGATCAGGGGAAATACAAGGTAAAAAGTATATTGGATAGCAAAATAGCATTTTATATTAGTACATCTGAAGAAATGAGTTTGTACTGTCCTCGACTTCATTTCAAAGGAGCTTGGAACTATGTCTGGTCCTTACATAGTCTCCTTAATAGCATTCTTCTAATGAAGAAAAAGCATTCACAGGTAATCTGGAATGTGCTCTTATCTGGAAAATGCACTTATGTTCATTTGGTGCCAAAAATCATTCCATCATAGTTTCTGTTTGCCATAAAAATCTTTGTGCTACAGGTAGTCCTTGGGTTATAACGGCAATTGGGACCGGAATTGTCATCACTAAATGATGTGGTAAAGTGTGATGTCATGTGACCAAATCTCTTACCTATGGCAATCCGGGCAGTCCTGGTTGCTGTTGTAACCCCAAGATGTGTGGGTCACTAAGCAGGAAGAGGTGGGAGTCCCAGGTAAGGAGCATGGGGGGGCCATGGGTGGGTGCTGCAGAAGGGTAGGGAAGGCTGGGGGAGGACTTGGGAGGGCCGGCGCAGGCGATGCATGCATCGCAAGAGGTCCTGGGAGGGCCAGTGCAGACCTCATGAGAGGCCGAGGGAGGAACTGGGAGGGCTGATGCAGGCCGCGTATGAGTCACAGGAAGCTGGGGGAGGGCCTGGGAAGGCCGGTGCAGGCCTCACAGGAGGTCAGGGGGAAGGACTGGGAGGGCTAGTGCAGGCTGCCTGCAAGTCATGGGAAGGCCAGGGGAGGGCCTGAGAAGGCTGGCACAAGCCACACATGAATGAGGGGAGGGCCAGTGGAGACTGCGCGTGGGCAAGCGGATGCTGCAGGTGAGAGAAAAAGCAGGAGCAACTTAACAGAGCAAGTTGTGAGTTTTTACCAAGAAATTTTATTAAGAATTATAAATGAAAAGAACAAAGGCCAATAAAAAATACAAACAGAAAAATATAAAAGAAAGGGAAAAAAGGGAGGGGTGTAGAAAAGAAAAAAGAAAGAAAAGAGAAAAAAGAAAGAACAAATAACTTCCCCGTTCATCCCAGCAAGTAAAGACAATTTTAGTAGCCTATCACCATCTCTAAATACAACATAATCTCTCTTCTCCCCATAGCTCATCTCTTAAGTAAAAAAAAACAAAATCCAAATGTTTCGTCAATCATTCTTTGTCAGCAAAAGTCCAGTAAGGGCAACCAGATGTAACTATTTCCCTTTT